AACTGGAGGCCGTTATTGCCGTGATGGCTGCCGAGCGTTCTGCGTTGGAAGCCAAACACTGGCAACAGGGTTGGGATGAAGCTGGGGCTGCCTATAAGGAAGAGGTGCAAGTGATGCGAGATAAGCTCTTTCTAAAGGGTTGGACGAGTGCTTTGGCTGCTGCGCTGGTTCCTGAAGGCTCTTCCCTGTTTCAGGATGTCCCCGTTCCTTCGAGATCCTTGGGTTCGAAGACTATTTCCACCCCTGCTGTTCTTCCAGCCGAAGTTTCCCCAGAAGCTGATTCTGCAAACAAGACCCAAGACAGTAATGTTGCCGCTGAGATGGTGGATGTTGAAGGGATTGAAACCCTGGAGACCGAAGCCAGATGTGGTTAAGGAGGCTTCTACTTCTCAGGAAGTTAGAGCTGCCTCTACTTTTCCTCCCGCGGACGTCCTGGACAAAATTGTTGATGCTGCTCCTGAGTTTTCCCATGTTAATGAAAGTTGATGTTGAAAGGATTTGAACTTTTTTGCTTTTCTGTTTTGATGTATTGTGGCTCGGTCTCCATGACGAGCTTTCTTTCTGCACTTGCCAAGACAATTTTTTCTCTTTTCTTTTCTTTGCTGCTAGTTATGAGGCCATCTGTGCCTTTTGTTGGATGATAGAATTTTCTCTTTGAACTTGCAATCTGATGCTGTTTGGCTTTTATGTCTGAATGTTTTCTATACTGCTTGGCCTCGGCCGAGCACTGTTGGGACCTCGGGGCTGAATAGATGCTCGGTCTGGTTCTATACTGCTTTTGAATGGATGCTTTGTCTAATTCTGTACTGCTTGCCCCCGGCCGAGCATTGTTGGGGCCTCGGGGCCGAACTAATGCTCGATATAGCTTGGTACTGTTTGCCCCCGACCGAGCACTTTTGGGGCCTCGGGGCCGAACTGATGCTCGGTGTGGCTAACGGAGATGTGGTATGGCTGTGTTTGAGTTCGTAAGTGGGTCTTACTTAGGTCTAGGTTGGTTTTGTAAAACAATTGTTTGCCCCCACCTGGAGCTAAGTAAGATCGATACTGAAGATTGTGCTCTTTAGGTAGAGCTGCTTAAGTCTGTTGCAACTTTGATAGCATAAGAGCATTCGAATGCGATAAAGGCATGAAAAGGGGTCTTACTCATGTCCAGGTTGGTTTTGAAAAACAATTGTTTGCCCCCACCTGGAGTTGAGTAAGACTAATGTTGGAAGTTTATTCCTGACAGGACCTGGTCATGCTTGTTCCAACTCTGTTTGTTTGAGTCAGCACTGAAGTGTCGACGTGTTGGTACTTAAGGAGTTCTGTGGATTCAAAGATGTTTACTTAAGATATGTTAGTGTGGTTTTCACCAAGCAATTCCACTTGGCTAAAGTCCAATTTAGTTGCGAAACATTATTCCACCAAGCAATACCACTTAACATGTTTGAGTGCTAACCAAATTCATATTCTGTTCAGTCGTTCTGAAACTAACTCCATTTGGGCGAAGACCAAAGTTAATTCTGTTCGATAAACATCAAAGCTAATTCCGTTTGGTGAGAACCAAAGCTAATTCCATTTTATAAACATCAAAGCTAATTCCGTTTGATAAACATCAAAGCTAATTCCGTTTGGTAAGAACTAAAGCTAATTCCGTTTGATAAACATCAAAGCTAATTACAAGAATTTGATAAATTTGAGAGAAGTGGGGAAGCATTTACATTGGCCAACAGATAAATGCCTTTACATTCTGATAGAGAAGTTGGGGGATAATTCTGTTGATAGTATTTCTTGAGATTTGCTACATTCCAAGGCCGAGGTATAGCTCTTCCTTTTAGATCCTCTAGGTAGTAAGCTCCATTTCCAATAGCAACTGCGACTTTGTACGGACTCTCCCAGTTAGGCCCAAGTTTGCCCTCGCCTGATACCCTTTTATGATTCATAACTTTCCTCAAAACCAGTTCTCCAGGTGTAAATTGCCTTGGAAAAACTTTTTGATTGAAACTTCTGATGAGCTGCTGCTGATACACTTCAAGTCTAATCAGCGCTGCTTCTCTTCGGCCCTCTGCTATAAGCACTGGATATAGCGCTTGTGCAATAGCTTCCTCGTTACTGGAGCTTTCAAATAATTCAGACTGAAGGGTTGGGAGACCTACTTTGAGTGGGATAATGGCCTCCATTCCATAAGTTAGGGAGTAAGGTGTTTCCCCCGTCGAACGCCGTGCTGTGGTTCGGTAGGCCCATAATACGTGGGGTAGCTCTTCAACCCATTTGCCTTTTGCATGTTCAAGTCGCTTCTTTACTCCTTTGATGATGGTTTTGTTTGACGCCTCTGCCTGTCCATTACTCTGTGGGTACCCTGGAGAAGAGTTCATATATTCGATTCTGAGGTCGGCACAAAACTTTCTGAAGACCTTACCATCGAACTGTGTTCCATTATCCGCAATCAGTACCTGCAGAATGCCGAAACGCACCACCACATTCCTCAAAACAAACCACTTCATGTCCGCCTCTTTGATACTTGCCAGCGCCTCAACTTCAACCCACTTAGTGAAATAGTCGGTTGCAGCAATGAAGAATCGCCTGTTCCCAGTGCCTCGCGCCAATGGTCTGACAATATCCAGACCCCATTGCGCAAAGGGCCATGGGCTGGTGAGTGGAGTAAGAGTTTTGGCTAGCAAACCTCTGACATTTATCACACTTCTGTACGTACTGTTGTGCATCTTGCTGCATCTGTGGCCACCAGTACCCGTGAGTGAGAGCTCGATGTGCCAGTGACCTTCCGCCAACGTGGCATCCACAAATCCCATCATGAATTTCGTAAAGAACATTCTCGATGAGATTTGGATGTACACATAGGAGGTAGGGGCCAAGATAGGAGCGTCTATAAAGCTTCCCAGATGGTGAGATCCAGAACCGAGCTGACCTATGTCTAACCTTGTTGGCTTCTCTTTTGTCTTCGAGGAGTGTACCAGATTTCAGAAAAGTAAATATTGGATCCATCCAGCTTGGCTCTAAGTTGTTGCAGAGGACTGGAGATGCAATACTTGGTTCCGACACAAACTCAACCCAAACTTTTCTGGCATCCTTTGCATCCACTGATGAGCCGAGGCATGCGAGAGCATCAGCGTGGCTGTTTTTGTCCCGACTGAATTGTTCCACTCGAATGGATTGAAATTTTCTGAGTAGGTCCTTGGCCTTGCCTGCATACATAGCCATTCTTTCATCTCGTGTTTCATAGACTCCAGAAAGCTAGTTTACCACTAGTTGTGAATCACCAAAAACAAGAAGTTGTTCTGCACTGAAGTGTTCGGCGCTACATAAGCCAGCCAATAACGCTTCGTATTCGGCCTCGTTGTTTGAAGCCTTCCAACCGAGCTTGAGTGCCTGTTCCCAGATAAACCCTTTTGGTGAAATAAGTACTACTCCTGCCCCCGAGCCTCGATTATTAGACGATCCATCAACATAGAGCTGCCAGATGTTTCCAATAAAGAGTTTCCATGCTTCCGAAGCGCAGGGTTTTCCTTGTTCGGTGGTGCATGACACCTGTGCCGAACTCAGATCCCTCGGTTCGGTACTCTGGATGGGAGCAAATTTTGCGACAAAATCCGCTAAGACCTGGGCCTTGATCGCTATCCTGGGTTGATACTGAATGTCAAACTCACCAAGTTCTACCGCCCACTTTGTTGTTCAGCCAGAGAAATCAGCTCGGCTGAATACAGATCTGAGGGGGAATTTAGTGAGGACGTTAATGATATGCCCTGGAAGTAATGTTGCAGCTTTCTTGAGGCGATAAGCAGCGCGTATGCCAACTTTTCCAATGGTAGATACTGTATCTCGGCATCTAGTAAGGTCTTGCTGACATAATATACAGGCCTCTGTTCCTTGTTAACTTCTCGAATTAATACCGCGCTCACGGCATGATCTAAGACTGCTAGATAGAGGTACAGCTCCTCTCCTAGTTCTGGAGTGGACAGTAGATGAGGTGTGCTGAGGTATCTTTTGAGACTTTGCAGTGCTTCGGTACATTCGTTACTCCATTCAAATGCTGCCTTTTTCCTCAAGAGCTGGAAGAAGGGCTTCATCCGATCCGAAAATTTGCTAATAAATCGATTCAGTGCGGCCGCCATTCCGGCTAGTTTTTGCAGCTCTTTAGCCTTTGTTGGTACTTCAAGATCTTGTATCGCTCTGATTTGATCCGGATTTGCTTCAATTCCTCTATGAGTGACCATGTGTCCCAAGAACTTCCCTGTTCCTAACTCGAAAGCGCATTTCGAGGCATTGAGGCAAAGCTGGTGGTTTTTCAGGATGCCAAAAACTTCTCTCAAGTCTGTGAGGTGGTTTGTAGCGAGCTTGTTTTTTACCAGCATATCGTCTATATAAGCTTCTATGGTTTGTCCCAGTTGGTCCTTGAACATCTGAGTGATCATTCGCTGGTAGGTTGCCCTGACATTCTCGAGGCCGAATGGCATTACCCTGTAGCAGTAAGTTCCTCTCGGAGTGATAAACGCTGTCTTTTCTTGATTCGGACCGAACAGTGGTATCTGATGATAACCGCTATAAGCGTCCAGAAAGCTCATGCGCTCATGCCCTGCTGTTGAGTCTACTAGTTGATCAATGCGAGGCAGCGGAAAGCTATCTTTAGGGCAGGCTTTGTTCAAGCAAGTGAAGTCAACGCAAACTCTCCATTTTCCGTTCTTCTTATTGACTATAACTGTGTTGGACAGCCATTGCGGGTACTGAACTTCTCTGATTTCTCCTGAAGCCAGGAGTTTTTCGACTTCGACAATTACTGCTTCGGTGTGCGCAAATTCTAGGTCCAACCCTGGGGTATCATATGCTGACCATGCAAATACGTCCATATTCTCCCTTTGCAGTTCCAGCAGTTGAAGTTTCTCATCAGCGCCTAGCGAGGTATCGATAAAGAAGTACTTTTCTGAGTCATCCTCTTTTACCAGGACTCTCTCCAAATCCTCTACTATTTTTTCCTCTGGGGCTCCCCCTACATCTTCCAAGACTGGCTATTCGGCCACTTTTACCGTCTGTACCCGATTGCAGAGCTGCTTTGCCTTTAATGCTGCCATGAAGCAATGTTTGGACGCAACTTGATCCCTTGAAATCTGCTCTACTCCGTGTTCCGTTAGAAAACGGATGAGCTGGTGGTAGGTTGAAGGGACTGCCTCCATTTGTTGAATCCACGGACGGCCAAGTATGACGTTGTAAGGGGATGGTGTATTAATAACCAAGAACTCTATCTGGAGGGTTTTCGTTCCCGCCACGACTGGCAACACTATTCTGCCAAGCGGCCATTCTGGCTGTGAATTGAAACCGACCATCGGGGCTACCGCCGAGGTGAGGTGCTGCTCGGAGAGACCAAGCTTTCTGAACAAATCATAATACAATATGTCTGCTGCACTGGCTTGATCTACTAGGACTCGTTTTACGTCAAACCGTTTCCCAATTTCCACAGTTATAATTAATGCATCAGTATGTGGGTGCAGTATGCCCTCTAAATCTTTGCTAGTAAATGAAACAGTGCACAAGGGGGATTTAGGAACTGTACATACCTTTTTCGATGCAGGCTCCACTGACATGACCTACTGAATTTGCACAGCCTTAGCGATCTCTTCCTTCAGTGCCTCATTAGATTCCTGAGTCGCTGTCCCGTGGATCACATTTATTATCAACCGAGGTGGGTGCTCAGCATTCGATTCTGGTGGTGGGTTCCTCGGTTCGGTTACTTCTTTATCCTGATCAATGTAATCCCTTAGGTGTCCAGCTGCCATTAGGTCTTCCAAGCGTTACTTCAGTTCCCTGCAGTTCTGAGTCATGTGCCCCCTGTCTTGGTGGTAGGTGCATCTGAGCTTCTGATTGCGCCAAGTCGGATCTCCCAACATCTTCGGCGGCCAAACGAAGAAGGGGTCTCTCTTGATCTTTTCCAGGATTCGATAGATTGGCTCTTTGAATACAGTCACAATAGCTTCGTGGGATTTGGACTTATCCACTTCATTCACTACAATCCCTCGGTCTTCTCCTTGATCTGCTCTCTTCTTGTGCCAAGCTATTTGTTCTGCTGACGCTACCTCGATGGGGATCTGATCGTCTTCGAGGCGAGCGTACTGCTCAATCCTGGCACGCAAATCTTTTAAAGCTGTGGCCGGGCGCTTGGTAAGTGATTGTCTCAGCTTACTTTCTGGGCGCAGACTATGTTTGAAGGACATAACGGCCATCTGCTCGCTACACACATTTTCCTCCAGGTCATTGTACTCTTCCCAGTACCTCCTGGCATAATTGCATAGCGTTTTCTCCTACTCCTTTCGGAGACTGAACAGTGTATCCGGCTCCTTCAGGATCTTAGTGTTGGAGACGAACCTGGCTAGGAACTCTTCAGAGAGCAGCTTCCAGCCATGGATCGATCCAGTGGGGAGACGATCAAACCATCGAAGTCCGGTTTCTCCCAAGCTGGATGGGAAGACTTTACACATCAGTGCCTCATCTTGGTTCCATAGGGACATCATCTGTCTATAATGGCTAATATGTGTCAGCGGGTCCGACTTCCCGTCGTATGAAGTGAACTTTGGTGGGGTGAATTTCTTTGGAGGTTTCATGGTCTCAATCTCCGGGGAGAATGGCGAAGAAGCGAGCCTGTCTAGCGCTCGGTGTTCTCTCTGGTGAACAGTACGGTCCAGATGATCCCGATGTCGTTCGTTCTGCCTATTGCCAATCAACCAAGTACGAAGGTCCTGAGGAGGGTAGTCAGTTTGTTGGCTAACTGTTTTCTACCTCTTGGCCCTTCTCCGGTGTGACCCACAGGTGTGACTGCTTGCTGCCTCACTCTGTACTGGGATAGGCTGGCTTTATTGCCCAGACTCATTCCTGGGGAACTTCTTCACTGGTGGCTCTTTGGATGAGCTCCTCCGTCGCAAATGAGAGGGCTCCGCTTCTGTCTTCTTTTCCGTCGGATCGCCTAGCACCCTCTTAAGTTGGGCTTTCAACTCCTGTATCTCCATCCCCATGGAGTCTATGAGTCGATCTCTATAATCCTTTTCCAGAAGAAAGTGATGAGAAGAACCTCCAGCGAAGGGTAATCGATGCTCGACGGATTCAGGGGTTCGATTATTGTTTCCAGTTTGTTCCTCTGGGACTGTTGGGAGTGCCAAACCTTTGTCTTCCATTTTCTCCGTCTGTGGAGTATGTGTCGAAGGCGGAATGTCCTCAATCCCCATCGCCGGAACTGAGTGCAGAGCTTAGAGATGAAGTGATCCCCGCTCACCGCACCATTTGTGTGTATCAGATTCCGCACTTGGATCGGGGCCCTGCATTCAGTTGGACTATCTAGGGACTGAGGTTCCTGCCACAAGAAGTACCATTAGAGCTGCCCAGCCGGGGTTGGCCGGATAACCCCTCCGGTGTGGGAATTAGAGATCGGAGAGAGAATGTATATCGAGTTGAGTTTGTAGATTTACTTGGAATTGTTCAGTTGTTGGCTGTTACCTTCAATGTGAAGTTCATTTTGTATATATATGTTATTCCTTGCTTGCTTCTCAAGATGGTTTCATGGAGCTTGGATGCTGCCAAGTGTCTTTTTGGTATTGCTCGTGGTGGGGACCACCTGGTAGTTGTCATTGAATGCATGTATTCATTGTAGTCATGTTGATAGCTAACCACATTCCTTTGGTTCAACAACCTCCGTGATTCTAGGTATAGGGGACCAGCTGAGGTAGCAACTTGCACATGCACACATTCACAACTTCCACATTTCCCTACGAGGTTTCCTCAGCTCGGTACCGCTGTGCCTCAGCTCGGCATCATTATGCCGAGACTCGGCCTTTTACAGGATCATTCATGGAGATGGGCTGATCCGTTCAGATATCTTTGTATGGGCTCGGCCTATTTTCTGTTTGGCTCATAGGTTCAGTCTCGCAGCTCGGCCCAACCCAGCACCACGGCTGGACTAGCCTTTCCGCTACGGGTTGGGCCCAAGTGCTTGAGGACTTGGGTGGACTGTTAATCATGAAGTTGGGCTCAATTGGTTTGCCCATATACTCATTCAACCCACTTGGATTTGGATTTCAGTGAATTGGGCCGGCCCAAGGCTTGGACCCGACCCATTTCACATTTAGCCCCTTCAGGCCTTTTACAGGATCATTCATGGAGATGGGCTGATCCGTTCAGATATCTTTGTATGGGCTCGGCCTATTTTCTGTTTGGCTCATAGGTTCAGTCTCGCAGCTCGGCCCAGCCCAGCACCACGGCTGGACTAGCCTTTCCGCTGCGGGTTGGGCCCAAGTGCTTGAGAACTTGGGTGGACTGTTAATCATGAAGTTGGGCTCAATTGGTTTGCCCATATACTCATTCAACCCACTTGGATTTGGATTTCAGTGAATTGGGCCGGCCCAAGGCTTGGACCCGACCCATTTCACATTTAGCCCCTTCACTAGTGGTACTTGCACTAATATGGTGGTGGAGTCAAGGCTCTTTTGGATGGGATTCTGCACTGCAAGGACAGAGTGTTGTCTTATATTTTGCTCGAATATGACACCAAGGTGTTGATTTTCTAAGGGATGTTTCTGTTCCTCCATGATTTTTGCGTGGTTTGATTTGTTCCATGACAGTTTTGTTAGCCTCTATATGAATTTTAGAATTGTTCATATTGCTATAACGAGGCTAATAATGTTGCTAATGCTTTGGCAAGTTGGGGTTGTTTTGCTTTTCGTATCTGTATTAGCATTGTTTTGCATGGTTAAGTTTGCATCAGCTTGTTTGAGAGGTAAGAATCATTATGCTGCCTCTCTTCTTTTGAGAATGTTCTTAATTATTTTATTTATTTATTTATTTTTATTTTTTTGAGATTAATGAAAAAAAAAAAATCCTTTTGTCGAGGTCATCAAGCACCTCAACTAGAACCCTACCAAGTCTAGTCTTGGATGACACCCTTGCGCTCCCTCTCCTTGAGATTAAAATCTAGTGGCAAGAACATGTAGATCTCTTCATGTAAGTTTTGATGAAGAAAAGTGTTCTCACCATCTTACTAATGAAAGAGCCCAATTGCGAATAGCAACAATTGAGAGCGGTGGCAGGCAGAAAGAGGCCTACGGACAGCCATGGCCCGTTCAAGACAAGAAGGTTTATTTTGAAATATTAGTATTACAAAGCATCTTGTGAGTGTAATGAGAAATTTATTGTGTTTAAATATGAATCTCTTGGGACTGTATGCACAATACACGTGACGTTTACCAAAATATCATTATTTTGCTTGTTAAACTTTAAAATTCCATAATTTTTTATGTAGACGTCCATTTTGGATAGAATTTATATTTTAAAATTTTTTCATTAAGATTTATCAAATAAGACTAATATTCAATACAAATTTGCATACCAAAAAAAAAAAACTAGTTAGTGAAATTTCACTATGTTTTAAAACAAAGAAATTTCAAATTGAGGGTTAAAATGAAAATTTCAAAGACAATAGCAAAAACTCGAGCACTTTGTTTTAATTTGAGGGCTAATCCCAATTGAAGGTTACAAAATGACAAAAACATTTCAATATGTCCATTGTTCGTGCAATGAAATTTCACTATCTTTACAAACAAATCAAAAAAACTCATATTCAATCTTAATATGATGGTTAAAATTCTAATTTTCTGAATTCAATTTTTTAAAAATTTGATTTTTTGTTTTTTGTGTTTTTTTAGTTTTAGTGAATTTTTTTACTATTTTAAGCAAATTTTTTACTTTTTAAATACACTTAATATAAATAGAATTAAAAAGTATAATATTTGTGATTTTTTTTTAAATACCCAAAATACAAAAAAATATGAAAATTCAATAAATTTTCATATTCTTGTGTATTTATTGATTTTTTAAATATTTTTTATAAATATTTTACTTTTTAAATACATCTATGTTGGGTGCAACTAAAAAGTAAAAAATATATATATATATATATATTGAAAATATTAAAAAAATTCACTAAAAAAAATATCCAAAAAATAAAAAAACTTCATTTTAAAAAAATTAAATTTTAAAAATTAAAACCAAACAAAGGAGATTGTCATTTTAAATAGAGAATTTCAAATTGATGACTAAAAAACTTTTGCAAGCTAAAAGCAATCAAACAGCACACGATAACCCTCTAAAAGCTTTTGGATGACTTTTGTAACCAGTTTCCTCTATTATAAATATGGTAAAATTTTACTTTGGCTTTACTTTTTAAGAGGAGCGAAATATGAGAGACATGGCGCTGTTTGGGAAGTTTGGTTTTTAGTTTTATTTATTATTTTTTTTTTACTAAAAAAAATTAGTTACAAAATTAAAAAAGAAATTAATACAAACAAAATATCACATCAAATTCCATAATTATTTTATTTTTATCTCACAAATATCACATCTAACCACAAAAAAATCCAACTATCTTTCTAAACATAAAAAAAAAAAATTCTCCAATAACATCCTACAACTAAAAAAACTTACAAAAAAATTTACTTCTCAAACACCACATTATCCACCAAAAAAATATATATGTTGGGGGGAAAAAGCTTTGACCTTTTTTTCACCATCGAAAAAAAATAAAAAAAGACAAAAAAAAAAAAGAAAGAAAAAGAGTTATGCAGCTTTATCATTATTTTCTAAGTTGAAAGATGTCACAAAGTGACACAATATTTTTGCAGTTCTCTAGCCAACCATGATAACCTACTCATGTTTTTGGTGTTTGTCGATACGGTAGTGTTATACGCATCAATTATTATATTAATTAGTATATCAATATATGTTACGATATTATTATTTTAAAATTATGACGTTACTCATTATATAAATTATAAAAATTTAAAATTTCTAAAATTATGTCATATCATCCGTTAATATACTAATTGGTATATGTAATATTGTTCTTGACAATATATTTGTAGAAAAAAACAAAATAAAAGATTGAGACCGAGCAACAAATCTACTATGTGAAGTTTATCGAAGAATTTTGTGACATCAATGCTATTCAAACAACAATAAGAGAAGGGATAGTTTTGAAACTTTACCAAAAATAATGTAACAAAGCACATATTTTGGAGACCAAAATAAAACAAGTCACGTATTTTGAGTATCAAAACGTGCCTTAGGACTCTTGCCCCTTATCTCGGATTCCGATATCTTTGGAGATGACCTCGGCTTCTCCAAGATTACCTCGGCTTAACTACCAAGACACGTGGCACCTCGGCTGACACGTCGGCGTCACCATGCCACGTGTTGGTATCCTGAAAATACATCCCCACATTTATTATTTTTTTTTACTAAAAAAAAATTAGTTACAAAATTAAAAAAAAAATTAATCCAAACAAAATATCACATCAAATTCTATAATTATTTTACTTTTATCTCACAAATATCACATCTAACCACAAAAAAATCCAACTATCTTTCTAAACACAAAAAAAAAAAAATTCTCCAAAAACATCTTACAACTAAAAAAATTTACAAAAAAACTTACTTCTCAAACACCCACATTATCCACCAAAAAAATATATATGTTGGGGGAAAAAAGCTTTGACCTTTTTTTCACCATCAAAAAAAAAAAAAAAAAGACAAAAAAAAAAAAGAAAGAAAGAAAAAGAGT